ATATACAAAAACAACTAAACTAACTAAATATTAAGAATATATGCACATAATATATAATAAATATTCTAAATAGCAAAAATATTTCACACATAACAAACTAAAGATAATCACTACAGCACTGCACTTAGAACAGAAAACACAAACTAAAATTAAAACCTAACCTTGATGCAAAGTCATCAATAATGTCATCATATGAAATCTGCTCCCCTACTGAGTGATTGATACTAATCAGAGCCAGGTTAGTGAGCTGCCCCTGAAACATAGGTGACCTCAGGTATGACTTGATCAAGTTTTGAAAAGCTCCTCTCAGCTTGAGCCACAGTGACTGGCAGAGCAGTCCAAAAGTTGGGGTAGATCTCCAATAGATCTCATGATCCATAATATTTTACAATTGCCTCTGAAATTGTAATTTAAACTGACATAAAAAACTGTAGACTAACAAAAATGCCAACTTTTACAGAGCAAATCATGTAAAAAATAATCAGTGCAGCCATCTGCAATAAATAAACAGGATAGTTAGTGGTGACTGGGGTGTTTTCTTCTGCTTGTAGAGTTGTTTTATTTATTATCATGTGAACTTGATCAACATGTGTTTGTTGTTGTTCAGGCAGGCCACAGGCTGCAGCGAGCATTTAACAAATCCTAGTTTGAATCAATAAAAAACGATTCAAGGAATTTATTCGAACCATTTGAATATTCGTTTCAATATTTCAGCCCTATTAGCTCTGTAAGCAACTAGTTGACCGGATTTAACCGTTAAAATCCCAGTTAACTGGTTCAAAAAATTGAAAACATTCATCATGAGAGCGAACATACCTTTATCTTTCTCCTCTTTTTTTCTTTTTTTATTCCTGAATCGGGCACCTGGTGGTTTTAGCCTTTTTATGTTCATCTCTTCTGTTTGGCTCTTGACTCAATAAGTTTCCTTTAGTCAGGACTAAACAATTTGACCTTGATGGGGGGGTGACCACAAAATCATTTTGTTTTTCCTTTTTTTATTCGGCCATTTCACACAATTCAGAAACACCTGAAAGAATGATAGGCCTGTGTTTATGATATTATGAATGAAATGTGGAAGAACATCAAGATGTGATCGACTTTAGCCATGTTGATAGTTGATTCAGCCCCTACCAGCTCATTTCATTTGGACCCACCCAGAGGTGAATTCCCCCGCCGCACCCCTCCCCTTCCTCTTCTTCATATACACACGGTGCACGTGAACGTTCTCAGTCAGCAGGAGCGCCTGCAGCTGCAGGGGGCGCCAACTTGCTGTTTCCAATCCAGACACTGTCATATGACAGATAATAGAAAACCTCGGTGCGGCGCAGATTTCCTTTTTTTTTTTTTTTTTTTTTTACTCAGCGCTTGTGCGCCCCTTTTGTGTCATGAAAAAATGCCGCCCCGGGCAACTGCCCTGTCTGCCCGTGCCTAAAACCGCTACTGGTGGCTTGTAGGCTGCTGCTGGCCTGGTGGTGGCTTGTAGGCTGCTGCTGGCCTGGTGGTGGCTTGGTAGCTGCTGCTGGCCTGGTGGTGGCTTCTCATCTACTGTATGGGATATATTCTCCAGCCACAACCTCCAGGAGTACACGGACACTGTACTCTCGTACATCAAGAACTGTGTGGATAATGTCACCGTCAACAAAAGGGTAAGGGTGTTCCCAAATCAGAAACCCTGGATGAATAGCGAAGTGCAAGCCCTCCTGAAAAGTCGCAACACTGCCTTCAAGTCAGGGGACAAGGCTGCATATAGGGCGGCCAGAGCAGACCTGAGTAGAGGCATCAGGAAAGCTAAGGCTGCCCATAGGAGAAGGATTGAAGATCACTTTGCTGACAACGACCCCAGGAGGATGTGGCAGGGGATTAATCACATTACCAAGCACAGAAGCAATAACCTGGCGACATCTAGTACTGATGCCTCGCGTGCTGAGGATCTAAATCGTTTCTTCACCCGTTTTGAGACGTCCAGGCCCTCAGATGTAACTCCATCTACACCCGCCCCCAGCCCCGGCACACTAACACTTGAGGAGCATCAAGTGAGGTGTGTGTAAGGTCAGTGAATCCCAGGAAGGCGGCAGATCCTGATGGAATACATGGAAAGGTGCTCAGGGCATGTGCTGACGAACTGACCGGAGTCTTCACTAAAATCTTCAACCTTTCCTTGTCACTAAACACCGTCCCGCCCTGTCTCAAAACCTCCACCATCATCCTCGTCGCTAAAAAGTCAGCAGTGGTCAGCCCAAATGACTACAGGCCTGTTGCACTTACGCCTGTAGTGATGAAGTGCCTGGAGAGACTGGTCTGTCAGTACATCAGGGCCAGTCTGTCTCCCACTTTGGACCCCCATCAATTTGCCTACAGGACAAATAGATCCACCGAGGACGCTATCACCATAGCACTCCACACTGCGCTGAGTCACCTGGAGCACAGAGGAAGCTATGTGAGAATGCTCTTTCTGGACTTCAGCTCAGCATTCAATCACATAATCCCTGAGATCTTGGTCCAGAAAATGTCTCACCTGGGACTCTCCACCCCCATCTGCCTCTGGATTAAGGACTTTCTGACAAATAGATCACAGTCTGTCAGACTCGGGCCACACCAGTCCAGCACCATCACACTCAGCACCGGGGCTCCACAAGGATGTGTTTTGAGTCCACTCCTGTTTACAATCTACATCCAAAGTTTGCGGATTATACCACCGTGGTCGGACTCATCTCGAAGGAGAATGAGACGGACTACAGAGATGAGGTCAACAGACTGACGGAGTGGTGTTCAGTTAATAACCTCCAACTGAACACCACGAAAACTAAAGAAATTATCTTCGACTTCAGGAAGGGCAGAGCAGACCCGGCCCCACTGTACATTCATGGGAACTGTGTGGAGAGGGTGCACTCCATGAGGTTTCTGGGCGTGCAGATCTCTGACGATCCCTCCTGGACCGCAAATACCACGGCAGTGGTAAAAAAGGCCCAGCAGCATCTCCACTTTCTGAGAGTGCTCAGGAGGAACAACCTGGAGGAGAGGCTGCTGGTGACTTTCTACAGAGCCACCATAGAAAGCATCATAACGTACAGCATAACAGCATGGTACGCAGGGTGCTCAGCTGCAGACAGGAATGTACTGCAGAGGGTCATCAACACAGCCCAGAAGATCACTGGCTACTCTCTGTCCAGCCTGGAGGTCATTGCAAATTCTCGGTACCTCAGCAGAGCGAGTAATATCATCAAGGACCAGTCTCACCCCAGCAATCAAGTCTTTCAACTATTACCATCAGGTCGATGGTACAGGTCACATAAAACCAGGTCAAACAGATTCAGGGATAGCTTCTTTCCCAGGGCGATCTCTATAGTAAATAAGCATAAAACATTTAAAACTTTTTAGCGACTGTCAAGATCACCGTCAACTATTATGCTGCTATTCTAATGCCATTTTTTACATAATATTTTAGCTGCTATTCTGTATATATTGTGCTATTCGGTATATATTGTACTTACTATTGTTTTGTTTTAGGGGACCTTTTATATTTGTATTATTGTATTGTGCACCAAGGGAGTGGCACTCCAATTTCGTTGTATCCTGTACAATGATAATGAAGGCTATTATTATTATTATAACTCTGGATAACCTAGCCTTTAAGATGGAAGCATGCTGGAGGCAGAGCACGGGAGAGCCGTCTTTACCGACTGTACACTCCACCTCCCTCTCCTCCCCCACTTGTCCAGATCTAGACTAACATCAGATTTTAACCATAGGTCCTATCAAATAAAAACGTTTTAAGCCTAGTCTTAAAAGTAGACAAGGTGTCTGCCTTACGGACTAAAGCTGGGAGTTGTTCCTACAACAGAAGAGCCTGATAACTAAAAGATCTGCCTCCCATTCTATTTTTAGATATTCTGGGAACCACCAGTAAACCTGGAGTCTGCGAGCGAAGTGCTCAGTTGTACATTTTTCTAGAGATTCTGAATGCATCAACATCTCATAATACTCCCGCCATCTTCTACAGGTCATAATGATATTCCTTTCAATTAGCTATTCACTTTTATTACTCCATTCTGCTGTCACTCATCACCAGTCTGCAGGGTATGGTGGTCTAACACCTGTCCCTATATTTACAGAAGGTCCCACAGTTCTTCCTGGCTGACATCCAAAGGTAAAACAAACACAAATAAATAACTGTTAACCAGTAAACTAACCTTGTAAAGAACCCTGAAAAATAAAGTAAACCACGAACAAATTTCAGCGGTGTGATTCACAGAGGAAACATTTTTAACTACTATTTCAGATTATAATCACATTTTTTCATGCTGGCAAAACATGAAAATAGTCTCCTACACCTAGTTCCTGCATTAGCTTCTGATAGAAATAGGTGGTGAAACAGATCTACTTCACACTGTCACTGAACATTCATGGACTCACCCATCTTGACACGCAATAGGAAAGGCTGTTGTTGGTTTAGCATCAGGAAACAGCAGAGAACATCTCGGCTAGTAGAAGTCTACTGTTAGCATTAGCAACTGCACCACAAAGCAAAACTCCTTCAGGCTTGGGTTATTTGTGGAGATAAAATATCAACGTTGCAGAGCAAATGGAGTCAGTGGTAGAGTTGCATTGGTGTTAGCCACTTTGAGGCATGATGTCCAAAAACCAAGAAGTATACGACTCCAAATTAAATTCTATTTTGACGTGGTGTTCTGCTAGTTCCTCAAACAAGTGCATCATAGTTATTTCCTCCACCCCAAGTACAACTTTATGCATTTAAACACATCTAAAATTAAAACAGAACACATTAAAAAAACATTCTAATTAAAACTAAACAGCAATGTAAAGAAAAAATCTAACATACAGATTAAGTCTACCTGGTCTGATGTTTTTCAGCAGCTTTGGTTCCTAGAGGCATCTTGGAAAAATCAGATCCAGAAGATAATGAATTTAAACTCTGGTTCAAACCCATTGAACCTTCATTAAAAGTGAGAAACCCGGTAATAAATCAATGCTGGACATGAGATTATGTAAAAACCAGATCACCCAGATTGTCTTGTTGTCGATAACAGAACAGTTGAACTAAGCCTAAACCAGCCACTGGCTGAGTAGGCTGCGAGGGTGGGGTGTTGGGTGTGTTTGCCCCACAGTGTTAGTCTTTATCTAATCAGCGGTCATCAGTGACTGACAAGTCCACCAGGTGTAGCAAAGGTATATAAACTCTGTGTTTAGTTCAGGAAGGCATCCTTCATCCAGCGACTGCTGCTGCTGCTTGGATTCATCACAACAAGGTAAAACCTGACTTCTATTTATCTGCTGTTATTGGTAGTGATGGATATCCATGTCAGAGGTTTTATAATAGTAGTTTATTGTGGATTTCCTTTCTGAACACTAAAATAACACATTTTACCCAGATGGCGTCCGGTCTTCTCTTCTTGTTGCTCCTCGGGATCGGAGGAAATGTAAGCTTGCAGATGTTCTTGTGTAGTTGAATAAATCAACATTACTCTGTTATTTTCTCATTATGACCTGATGAGAAACTGACATTAAACCAATGAAATGTGTTCAAACCAAACCAGAGCAGAAATATCATTTGATGTCATGTCTCTGAGCAGTTATGTGCTCAGAGACAACCCTCCTCATGACTAAAGGTCTGATCTAAATGCAAACAGCTCCCAGTCAGTCCAGTTTAAATGTTTCTCTACTGGCTACAGTTTGTCTGATAGTGGTTTTTTTTTTACATCCACAGATGTTTTCTGAAGCGGTGTCACCAATAGGTGCTTTTTTAAAATTTATAACAGCAGGTTTTCAGATAAATGCATCATGATTATTGGCTGTTCATGAAACTACAAAATGTTGACATCTAAGAATATCTGACTTTTGTTTCTCATAATGTCTAACTTGATTTATGTTTTTAACAGATCACCTTATTGTATGTGAAGATTCAATGGCCGAACTAAAGTGCCGTAAGCCTCTCATAATTAAATGATTTGCATGTTTTCACTGTTTGCATGCAAACCCTTTGAGTGTAAACCAGTTTTTTTGTTGTTGCTAAAGAGACCAAACATTTGAGTGTTTTTTGGTGAAGATAATTGAGATAAATGTGGAAATTTTCAGTAGGGCTTAGTTTCTTCTCTGAAAGTGTTTTGAAGATTGAGTTTCTTAAATATGTGGGATTTCCCCCCCCCCCCATTTCCCCCTTGGAGATAGTATATAAAGCAAACCTTGAGCTGTACTCAGGGCAAAAAAAGCCACAATCGCTTCATTCAGCATTGCTGCTAATGCTCATGATGAAGTCGGGATGTTTTCTGCTGTTTCCTGGACATTAAAACAACAGCCTTCCCCTTTGCAAGCCACGATAGGTGAGACCATGGATGTTATGTGACAGATCTGTCAGGCTTTTTAAATCCTAGCGATTCATCATCTATTTTCTATCAGAAGCTAATGCAGGAGATAGGTGTGGGAGACTATTTTCATGTTCAGCCTGCATGAAAAACACGAGAGACTGATTATAACCAGAAATGATCACTAAAAAGTAAAATTTTCAGTGAACCACAACTTAAATTTGCTAATTGATTTGCAATAAGATCATAGGAGATTATTCTGGACCTGATCTATACAAACCTTGACTTTGATAACATGCTTAATTTTAAACTGCATGTCGGTGGAAAAAAGAAATTTAATTGATCCTTTTTGTCTGTATGGATTTTATAAAAACAAGCTTAAAGCTGTGATTTGGTGAAATTGCATTCATTGTATTCATGAATCAATCTGTTCAGTGCATCTGTGCTATTCATTCTGTGCATCATGTCTCTGAGGTTTGTAAACTCTAGGGTGCGATGGCCACCATTAGCTTCACAGTGGACGATTTACTTCTATAGCTTTATATATAAGGCTGTAATTGAAGCGTTTGTCTGCCTATTTATGCTCTCCTCTCTTCAGGAGGAGCCTTGGTTGCTGTCATTCTTCGTCCACAAAATCAACTTCTGTTTTTTGTTCTTCTTGCCACACAAGAACTTGGACTAAGAGCCTTTTTGCCCGTGTGCGGGGCTCAAACCTGCAACCTTTCGATTACGAGGCGAGCACTTAAATCCTGTGCCACCGTCTTTGAAACCTTAGTGTTTTGTTTATTTGTACCAATTAAACGTAGCTTCTTTAGAAATATTTTATTTGTTTGATAATTATGATGATTTGTGCTGTGAAACTGCAGTTCTTATCCCAGTCTCACTTAGAAACAAGGTTTTAATTGCAATGGGAAATTTGGTTTTCCTGGTTAAATGAAGGTTAAAAAATACTCTCCAACTCCTCCCAAAGTCGTCTCACATTTCTTGCAATTTCTAACTTGCAGACACTAAACTGAGGTTCTAACTAGTTTTTGTCACTTTTTAAAACATTTATAAATTGATAGATTTATGTTAAACTCCTGCAGGACAGGTGTCAGACCCTGAATCTCAGTAGAAATGCTGAAACATTTTAAAACGTTGTTTATCCTCTTGTCTCCAACCTTTACATTTATCTGAGAGTCGTGCTCTAGTTGCATTTGTCTCCTGTAAAACGTATTGTGTTAAGTGTTCTGCTTGACCTTTTTCTGCAGCTCAAGATCAGGGAATACACGTGTACTACGCTGTATACGGACGTCATGACACGACCACCTGTTCTTTCGGACGTCCTCCTTCTCAGCTCCAGAATGTTACTTGCTTTAGTTTCACCAAACTCATTACTAAAAAGTACCATTTATTTTTCTTTAAAACTCCAGGATTAGAGCACTGATAACAATTTAATGGTTGGTTCTCGTGTTGCTCCTTCTCCACAGCTGTAACGGGAAGTACAACTGTAGAATCACAGCCAGTAACTCTGAGTTTGGAGATCCCTGCGTAGGAACCTACAAGTACCTTGATGTAGCCTACAGTTGTATGTGTGAGTAGAAAGCAAATGAGCCATGAAGATTTATTTCTTAAAACATTTATTTGCTACAAGAATCAATTTTTTTCCCCACAGATCCACTCTAAAATCTTCCTGTGATGCATCGGCGACTTTTCTTTTGGATTAGTTTTTAAAGAAATAACAAACATGAGATCTAATAAAGGAATTGAGTCAAATTGAGAAGAATCATGTTGAAGCTAGTGTATATTTGTTGATGAAATGAGATCAGTAAGTCAAGTAGAAGTAATCTCTTTGTCATGATTTTGTTTCTTCCTATTTTTTAATGTGTCCATTTAAAATATTTGATTGAAAACCTTACAAAAAACATATTATGTGGTAAATCTATAAGGCTTCAAAGGTTGGAACAGCCCACTCAACCTGAAGCCTAGTGGAGTTCGGGTATTGGACTTGAGTGCAAGTCGTAGTTGACCATAACAAACACTGTAGTTGAACATAAGAGTGCCCACTCTGTCACACTCTGAACATTATCCACACCTTCATCTCCTCACGCTTAGACTACTGTAACTCTCTTTTCAAGTGTCTGAGCAGAACCTCCCTGAACCGTCTACAGGTGGTTCAGAACGCCTGTGCTCTGCTTCTGACCAAGTCCTCCAAACACACCCACATCACCCCGCTTCTCCTCCAGCTTCAAAATGGCCCCGCTAAGAGCAGAGATCAGTTAAAAAGAGGACAAAGCTAAACCTAGTGTAATACAAACTTTAAAAAATATATAATTAAAAACTAATGAAGGGTGCACAAACTATTAAAATAAAGAACATTTAAAGCATTTAAAGCATTTTAAACCCATGATAAACCTAAGAAATTCGATTTTATTTTATAAAGGAATTTAAAGTCACCAGGCTTTCTTTAATCAGAAAATAAATCAACACATCCTGGTCATTTATATACTTTATTGCATTCACTGCATTTTTTTTCACTCAGCTTTAACCAGGATATGACCTAAGTATCAGGAGTTTTTTTTTCTTTTGAGTAGAGAAAACCCCCCCACAAAACAAACACAAAATACTATAACTTACCAGTGGTCAATGTTTCACCAACAAAATGACCAGAAAGTTACCTTTCATTTGCAGATCGGGAATAACCATCTGTCTGACCTCCAAATCAAAAACAATGTTCTGCCCAGTTCGTGTTACTGAACAAGAAGACACAACATTCTCTTTTATTTATTTATTTTACCGTGTCCTGTCTGGCCGTGAAGCAAACAGAATTGATGTCTGAATGCTGGTTACAAGCCTTACAGATTTATTCTCAGGTGGAGCATCAAAGCGTCTGCTTTTAATGTCACGCCTGATACTTAAAACTTTATTGTTGTTATTTTTGAATGCTTTGTAATTCCGACCAGACACGGAGACAGAGGTGAAAGAGAAAGGAAAAGACAAATGGTGGGGAGATAAGGGGGAAGGGTGTGTGTGTGTGTGTGTGTGGGGGGGGGGGGGGGGGGGGTCCACAAAAATAAACAATAATTAACAAGAGTGTGCTTCTAGACCTGCAGAAAGAGAAAGAATAGAAGAAAAAATGGGACACAATACATCTGGAGCAAGCTATCACTTCGTTAACCTGATGATGAAATATAAAATCAACATTGTTTAACAGAGCAATCACACGATAATAAATCATAGTGCATGTAGTGGCAACGACAGCCTTAAGACATTTGTTGAACGTGCCCAAGCCCATACTTTTGAGAGCACCATGTGAGCACCTGTGTGTGTGTACATGCGCTTGTTTATGTAAGGTTTCTCTATAGGAGCGTCCAATAGAGAGTGTGAAGGACCACAGATCTGCCCCTCAAAGATGTGTAGGAGACGGGGGGCAGCTCCAAGTCCCAGAGATCCAGGCACTGCCCCAGAACACAGGAACCCCAAGGAGACTGCAACCAGAAAGGCCACCGCCCCCCTCGAGAGGCACAGAGGATTGCCCCGGAGGGCCACAACCAGCAGCTGAAAGAGTCCCGGGAGATATCAGCGGCAAGCCCACAGGCCCGCCCGCAGCCTCCCACCCCCTAGCCCGGGACCCAGCGACCCGGGACCCAGGGGCGACCACCCCCGCCAGGGACCCAGCAGAGCCCAGGGACCCAGACCCCACCAAGCAGCCACCAGTATCGACCAGGCAGGCGCCAGAGATCTTAAACCCCCTGACCCGGGAGCCGCAAACACTCAGGCAGACCAAGGCAACACCCCACACCAGGTGTGGCAGGGGGAGGGGAGACAAAGATCTATATCATCAAAAGAAGTCCCAGGAGAAGAGAGGAGTCAAAGGCCCCACCTGACATATACAGTCATACACAAACACAGTCACACACTCCCTCCCTCATAATCACACATGCACATACAACCAAAGACTTACAAAAATGCACGCCGGACACCCACTCATGCTCCCCAAACACAACCTATTCACTCTGGTCCTGGTACTGCTGCACATTGGGTACAACCATCACCGGTTACCAGAGTTTGACCCTTTCTGCTGGGGTGCTGATGAGCAGGCCCCCCGCCCAACGCCGAGCACAGCAACCCACCACCCCAGACCCCATCCAGACGGCCAGGTCTCCCTCCTAGCCTCCAGCCCCAGGAAGCCAAGCAACAACAGAGGTATGCTAAGACCCCTAGTCTCCCTCCGCCTGCTCCAATATAGTGTTGTGAGTTGATGAGGTGTATTCCATGACTGTGGTGAGCGGGCAGCTCGGGCATTGTGTGGCCTATGCCAGCTGATGCCACCGCGCCCCCCCGCCTGCACCCACAGCCCTCGGTGTCTAAGTGCAGTTTAAAATTGGAAGTGGGCACTGGCACTCGGGAGGAGGCTGAGATATCCCCCTGCCAAGTGCCGATGAATGTGCTCACTCCCAAGGCCCTAACCCCTTCTTTCCACTGGAGCCGTCAGCAGCACGTTACTGCAGCAGCACGTCATAGCTGCTGATAGGAACCGCTGTGGTCAACAGAACCTTTTCCACCGGAGCCGTCAGCAGCCGTCAGCAGTGCGAGTCGGCCGCGTCTCAGGAGCAGCATGTCACGGCCTTTATGTGCCGGTTCTATTTTCTAAGTGCGATGCCTCTGAAACGGGTCAAGTTCGACATTTTTGGGGAAGGAAAGACAGGAAGTCGGACGCGGAAATGGAGCGAAGCTCCCGAGATTTTCAGAATAAAGAAACGTACTGCCTTCCAGTTGCTTTACTTTTAAAAAAAGTTACTAACTGTGCAGCCCCGTGAGAAGTTATCACCTAGCTAGCGGTCTTTGTTTTTCAGGTCTGTAATGGCGATTATAAAACGGACAGAACATAAAACACAAACCTTTTGGAGCCATGTTGTAGTTTTCTCCTGCTTGTTGTTGTTTACTGACGAAGTCTGTCGGTGACAGCTGCTCCCCTGCTGCTTCGCGTCTCGTGGGAAGGGCCAAGCAGCAGCTTATGCGAGCAAGACGTGCTGCTGCAGTAACGTGCTGCTGACGGCTCCGGTGGAAAGAAGGGGTAAGTGTGTGTTTGCGTGGAATGTCTTCGGTGGAAGTGTATAAGGTGCAAATAAAATTGGGGGGCAGGTTGCCACAGGAATGCAGAAATGGAGTCCATACCCACACTCCCTGACTTGTCTACACCCCAAGGTCCTATGTGCATGTTTGTGTGATGATGTGAGGGAGCAGGAGGAGTAAAATATGCGGGGATGGGGAGGAATGGCTGCTTGGGTTAGCCCTCCAGGGAGCCAGCTCCCCCACTGGCCCCAATAGGCACCTCTGTTGTCAAACTTCCACCCAGGGCATGGAGACCCCAGCCTATCCTGCCAGGGCCCAAAAGCAGCAGCATTGCAGAGCCTCACAGAGCCCAAGGGCACCATCCCAGCCCCACCCCAGCAGAATATCTATGCCCATCCCTGCATTTTGCACATCTTCCAGAATATATAAGACATAGGACATCCAGGTAAGGATGTCCCTCCTGGGCTTCCCCCTCCCTGTGATGAGACAGCAGAGGAGCCAAGGTCTACCCGAGGCCCCTGAACCCGGGCCAGGCACTGCTGCATGTTCCTGCCTCCTTCCCAGCAGCATACATGTCAGGACCGGACACCCAAGGCCCCGCCCAGATCCCCACACAGGGCCGGTCACCCCCCCACCCCACCCCACCCCAAGCCCCCAGGCCCCCACCCAGACCCGCCCAGGGGCAATGCAGCCGCCAGGCAGTGACCCATGGCCGCCGCCAAGACCTCCAAGGGGCCCCACTCACAACCACCAGTAGTCCACCCCCTGAGGCAACCCAAGCACCTCCAGAGGGGGGCAATGGCCCCCCAGTCCCAGACACCCCCAGTGAACCCACCTCCTTGGAACATCTGGATACTCCAAACTCAGACCCCCCCCATCATCCCGCAGGACAATATCAATGGTCCCCCATCATCGCTATGTGATGGAACTGATCAAAGGAGCCCAGAGAGATTGATTTGAAGTGGAAGCAGAGGCTAAATCAAGCGTAATATGATCTAACAAAAGATTTCTATACTGGTTAATGCAGAGATTTTCTCTATTTTTCCAATTCAAGAGGATAGTTTTCTTAGCGATGCATATGGCGGTCAGAACCACGTGAGCCAAAGATGTTTCAATCGGGACATCGTCCAGGTTTCCCAGTAAACAAAGAGAGGGGGTGGTTGGGATATGACATTTCAGACATTTTGACAGATCCTCACATACTCTACCCCAAAATTCCTGGACAGGTGGACAGGACCACAGCGCGTGAATGTAATTGTCAGGAGTGTTGTTTGTGCAGTGTGTACAGGTGTCAGATGATACAAACCCCATCTTGAACATCCGATGACCTGTACAGTGTACTCTGTGTAGAATTTTGTACTGAATTAATTGTAAATTGGGGTGTCTGATCATTTTAAAAGTTTTTAAACAAGTTTGGGACCGGAAGTTCTGGTCAAAGCTAACTGATAGATCCACCTCCCATTTTTCAATAGGGATATCAATTTTTTCGTCAATTTTGGACAGTGTCTTATATACTTTAGACAGTAGTTTGGGGGGTTTGAGATTATAGAAGTCAAACACCCTTGGTGGTGTTTGTAATTCTATTTTATTGAGCTTAAATTTTTGTTTGACTACAGATTTAATATGGTGATATTCTAAAAAGCTATTCTTATCCATTCCAAATTGGGAGACTATTCGATTAAATGGGATGAAGTCCAATCCTTCATATAT